ATCACTGTACAGCCTCCTCAGGGGACACACCAGCTCTGACTCTCACCTCTGAGCGGCTCAGGAGGGATCCGCTCTGCTAACACTGACCCTGCAACCACACCGCTTGCAGTACGTTCCTTCCACTAGCCAGCGTCACCACTACCTAGGCCAGCACCCAAATCTAGCCCCTGGGAGCTCTGCATTCCCGTGAACTCTGTGACACTGGGCTACCTGGAACCACTGTGCTTATCTCCCTGTCACTGGGCCACTTACAGGCGAGGCAGACTCATCCTGGCTGGATCTCAGCTCTCTTTGAGCTGTCTCTAGGTTGATGCCTCATGAACATCAGAACTGGACATGCTGTGCACCCGCTTAAAATCTTGGGGCTCTAGGTTCACGTCCTCAGAGTCTAGTATTCTTGATCCAGCCCCTGTGTTACGTCTGGCTTTATGGTCTGCGGCTTCCTAGTTTTTCCTTGTATTCCTGTGGCCATCTGCTCTACTGCCTGTCATTCCTTACTCACACCATCTCCTTTTGAGACCTGTATACTAACTGTTCCTTCCCCAAATGCCTGTCCCTCACTAACTTTCAGCTCAGTTTATGAGACTAGCTTCCTTACACTGAAGTGAGTATTGTTCTTGCACTGGTACTTTAACCAACACCTACTTCTTTTATAATATTTTCAATTGCTGACCTCTCTCACTACCAATTTCTCTAAAAGCTGCATCATTTTACATGTTGTAAACATTTGGTATGGAGGCTCACACAACAGAAAAAGTCTCACTTCTAACATTCTATAAAAAAATAGAAATGAAATGTCACAATATTACAACTGGTCTACCCAACAGCCTTAACTGGACCAAAGGAGCAAGCAGTGAGTTCTTGAAGAAGACAGAGTCCCCAGTCGTCTGGTCCTCAGCAGCAGCACCCGCCTTCCTGGTCCGTGCACGAAGACACCGCAACTACGAGCCCGAACTGGGACACAGCTCTTGGAGCCCGATGCTAGAGGAGCCCAGTGAAAACAACGGCACCTGCTGGGCCTGAAGCCTGCAGTGGGGCCTCTCAGGACAAGGAGATAAGGGACGCACAGGATGGGCGCTTCTGCAAGCGGGAGGGGCCCTGGGCTCAGCCCTCCTCACGAGACCACAGCTATGACATTCTCAGGAGTCACTGACTTGTACAGATGAAGCTGGGACCTCCAGAGCATGCAAGTAGCTTTAGGGGACAAATATTAGAAACATTAAAAATACTCTCGTGCTTTTAAAAAACAAAGAAATATTCTTCCTATATATTTCACATGTACTAGATTTAAGTGGAAAAATATTGCTTGAAAATATTTGTGGACCAGTTATTTGGAATTTATTTGATATCTCCAATTATACACACTTTGTGGCTTAGAAGATCAAAGGCACCTTTGAATCAAAGAGTAATACAAATGGTAGTTTTAAGAGACACATCTTCTGACTGCTGGGAACAACAAACTAAAGTGTACAGAAGCAAAAGCCAAAGAGTGTAGTAAGTCCCTGAGAGCAGGGGCTCTGTTAGGCTTACAAGAAAGGGAGTAAAAGAGAAATAGGTGCAAGAGATGAAATGAAATGAGTGTGCTAGCAGAAAGCCTCCAAGTGCCCCTGTGCTAGCCCTCGGGTTCGGCAGGGGCAGGGGTCCTGCACGCCTAATTAGAGACACGCAGCAGGTGCGGGGCTCACTGGCGAGAAGGTGCTGTGACATCAGGAGAGTTAGGGACTCACAGGGTAGATCTGGGTGTCACAAGTGCACGCCGTGTAAGGGACACTTGGCTTTGGTAATAGTGTACAAGAGGACAGCATTAATGCTGTGAAGGCAGCACGGGGACAGATGGAGCTGGAAATACAGTCCAAACACAGCAGCAATGTTCAGCCCACGGCCATGGCTGCCCCTGCCACAGGACGGGAAGAGACAGAAGCCACAGCAGCCCTGGAAACCACAGGGCCTCAGAACAGAGGTGGAAAGCTAGTGGCAGTGTCACGGTGGGGAGCATCGGCCTGGCGCCAGCAGAGGGCTTTTCTCTAAGAAATGGGTACATGTGGCACTAGTGAGAAATGCTTCTCACCAAAGCCGAGAAAGAGCCGAGCTCAGCCATGCAAATGTTTCCTCTGCTAACCACTGTTGCACAAAAGCTGGGCCCTTGGGCACAGTGGAGCGTCCTGATTTGGGCACACGATGTCGTATGAACTCAGATGCCCCAGTACTAGTGGAGCCTTAAGCACTGTTTGGAATATTGTGTGTTCCTATTCTGTTCTCCCTCTGCATCTACACAGAATTATTTCAAGTGTTTTTAAAAATTATTCTTCATTCCAAAACTCACCATGACCACCTGTATTTCTCTGAGTGCCAGTCCTCAGGCTCTGTTTGCAATCCAAATACAAGCTGACTTTCTCGCCCTCTGGACACGCCTGCATGCTCCTCACTGCACTAGCAGAGTGGCGCTCCCACTCCCTGCTGTCCTGGGCTCCAAATGACCCCGCTCCAGACAGCATCAGGGAGGTACCGCGGCTTCCCCAGGCCTGCACCCTCAGTCTCAGCTGATCAACCTCTTCCTGTGAGTGCCAGACAGTGAATGCCGTTCCCATCCAGATGGCCACCTCCTGCCCCACAGCTAAGCCTCTGGAAGGAGATGCCCTCAGCTGCCCCTCCCACTCCTGATGTCACAGGCCCGCTGCATGCATCAAGTCATGGATGGCCTTCCCTCCCCCAAAGGAGCACAGTCACCCTTACTACGCTCCTCCCCGCCATCCTTGGCACAGCGGTACAGCGAGGCCTTCTCCTTCCTCTTGAAGCCCGCCCTTATTACTAGTTTCTCTGATGTGACTCTTCCTGCTCTGCCCGCCTCCTTCCTAGGCTCCTCTCCCTCCTCCTCCCTAGGACACTACTGAAGCACACGCTGTCTACAAAGTCCACTTCTTCCCCGACCTGTCTCCATCTTTTCTGAACATCACACGCATGGAACTGGCCGCCAGCCTGCAGCCCCAGGTGCTGGCATGAATTTCGAGGCCAGTGTGCCCCAGAAGCTCAGCTTTTCACCAGGGCAAAAGTGCGGCTCCAAGTCTTGGGTCCTCCGTCCTCCCATTGCCCCTCCTCCCTGTTGACCCCACTCTGGCCCAGGCACCCTTCTCTGCCATTCACTGCACTGACGCTGACAGCGTTTCTGCTGCTGCACATCCCAGCTATGCCCCACGACTGGCCGCCATGATGATGTGAGGTGTGTTCTGACCTAACCCGTAACAGTTGATACACTGTTTAGCCACTGAGCAGAGAGCCAGGACCCTCACTTGTAAACATCCTCATCCTGTGCAAGAGGAGGGCAGGGAGGTGGGGAGTGTTACATCTGTCCTGCGGTGGGAGGAGCCTGCTTCCAATACAAGGGAAAAAAGAGGCTCTCTCCCCCCTTGTCGCTACTTCTGCTGTATTTTCCACCTGAAACTGCTGCCTCTGTACTAGCCTGTCCTGTAGCCAGCTGATTACAGCCGAAGCCTCCACACTGGTGAGCTAAGCAAGCCTTTCCTTTCTTCATGTTGCGTGTCAGGTATTTTGTCTCAGTAACAGGAGAGAAAAGTAACTAAGACAATGACCAAACTCTCAGCTCCTGGTCTGTTAACCCAGGGCCATCCTTAAGCACGCTGTTGCCTCAACACCCACCATGCTGCACCCTCCCACTCTCCCCACGCGGGACAGTCTCTCGGCCTGCACCTCACAGTCCTCGTGGTGGCGTGACATTCTCCTGCTCTGTCTCTCCACCTGCCTCTGGCTGACTCCCTGCACACCTGCAGCCGCAGCTGAACAGCACGGCTCCTCAGGTGAAGCGGACTCGGCGTGCACCCGCAGCACAGCACTCACCACGTGCTCCCCAGCTCCCCTTGCCGCTGGCCTATGAGTCGACAGCCACGGGCAGGAGGGTAGCGGGGTGGATCTGTTTTATTTACTACTGTGTCCCTAGTATCTGAAGTATTGCACCTGGCACATACAAAGCACTGAATAAGCTTTTTTGACAGCATACAATTAAAAAATTTTACTAGGTTTGCAAAAAAAAAAAAAAAAAGCAATTTGCCCAAAGCCTCATGAGTAAATAAAATTTTCAAAGGTACCACTACTTATGGCAAAAATACCCCCCCAAATTGTTAAAATTCACATGGATAGTTCAGTACCTATTATAAGCACTGGATCAGGGAAGAGTCTCTCATGAATGTGTTCCATTTTATTTTTTTGTGGAAATGGGGATTGAACTCAGGCCCTTGTGCTTGTCAGGCAAGCGCTTATTCTACTGTGCCATCTCCCCTACCCCTATGCTCCTTATTTTTAAGAAAATGAAATAAATTTATCTCAGTACCTGCTTATTACTTACTCTTTTTCTTCTTCTTCAATTTTGTTTAATTACTGCCTATTATTTTAAAATTGAATTGCCCTCTTATAAAAGATGCCAATCAAACCATTCTCTTCACCCTCAATTCCCCCAAGAGGAGAAGTGAGGATTCGAAGGAGAAGCTGGAATGGCCAAAGCTGTAGCCACTGGGCCCCACAGTGGGACGAGGACTTTACAAGAAAAGATAGAGAGCTGCTTGACCCCTGGACAGAGCGAGAGGCTGCCTGCCTGCCTGTACACCTGGAGGAGCGCCCTTGTTACCACCCAACACGGTGATGCCCTGGTCTTGAATTCCTAACCCTCCACAACTGGTAGAAAACAAATTTCCACTGTGTAACCCGCCTACTTCCCGGCATTGTGTCACGGTAACTCTGGGGAACTAAGAGAAAATGGTCATGTCCCCTTGAAGAGTCCACACACCAGTTTCAATTCTTTCTTGATTCAATGTAACATCTTTAAGTCAAATAACCATAATCTGATTTTGATTTTTTGTTTCTTAAAAATCTATCTCACAGATAGCAATTTCAGACAAGGAAAACTGGAAGCATGACATCATATGCAGGTACAGTGCAGGCCTACGGGGATGCCCTATCAAGCTAGTGAAAATGGGCTGAAGGATACTCACCACCACCAAGAATGTAAGAATCCTGGAGGCTCCCCTAATGTGATGTTTTTTTCCCATCTTATCTAAAATGAATAAGAAAGATATTAAATACTTTAATAGTTGTCCCTGCACATACGGCAAAGCAATATTTTTCCATTTAAAATACTATGGTAATTTTTAAGGTTTTCGTATTATTGTTTGTTCACGTTTTCTAATCATCACTTCACACTATGATTTACAAACTGAATTAGTCTCGGAGGGTCCTCACCATTAGTTTCTGATTCGCCTCCCCCAGCCAGGCCCTGCACTCCCGGGTCTCAGCACGAGTCCACTTTTCCACGCAGGACGCTGAGGTGGCTGCGGGCCCCTCGGTCTCCACTGCATGGCTTTCTATTCGGCTCCGCCCTCTCTCCCTGTCAAGGCAGGTCCCCGATGCACCCACCCCGGGGCCACAGCTGCCGAGCGCTCGCATCCCTGGCACCGGCCAGCGTGGGCTCTACCCCTCGTCCCGCGGCTTCTCCGCCCAACACTCCGGCTGCAGCCTCTTCCTTGTTGGGTCCTGATCCTGGCGATCGTTCACGACAATGATTCATTTTATGACACTTTTCAACTGTTGTGCTCCCTTTTCAATTCGTGGATATTTGTTTCCGTGTCTCCCTACGACAAATTCTCCCTGTTGAAACGCTTAAAGTGCTCTAACGAGCGAGTCTGGGTGCGCAGAGGCGCCGCCGCTCCAGGCCTCTCCGGGATGAGAGCATCCCGGGCGCAGCCTCCCAGCCAGCGCGCGCGGGCTCGCCTCGGCTCCCGCGCGCTGCCGTGCAGCGGGGAAGGCGCGGAGGTCTTCTCCGGAAATTTCTCTCCTATAAGCTGGGCCACCAGCACCTACCGACCTCAAAAGGCTGTGAGGAACACGCTACTTAGTGAAAAGCACTTAAAAGAAATGGCCGGCATGCAGCACAGGCCTGATGGTGCCAGCTGGGCTTCTCTTTCCTTTCCCTAGAAAAGCATGCCTATAAAAACTTATTCCTGTAGCACTGTCAACAACACAGAAAATTCCACCGATCTTCCATCAAAAATACTGAAGTATTTAGGCATGCGCCAAACAATTTTAGCTCATGCATCAGAACCATGTAAAATATCTTGGTAGAAATCACACATACATCTTCAAAAAAAAAAGCAATTCCTGTCAGAACTTAGGAGCACTGTCTGCGCTTCTGGTATAGATGAGAGAAGCAAGCGTTAATCGTTTAAACAAGATTAAGCTTTGGTTTACTTTAGATCATTTGGAGATTAGTATTTTATTTAACTGACTTACTACATAAATAAAATTCAGACAACCACTGAAGTATCATCAAGCCTAACTTTAAATTTTTTAAAATGTTTTATTGACACATGGTTAGCATGTGTATCTGTATATTTGGGGAGAACAGTGTGACATTTCAATAGACATGCCCAATGTGTGATGTTAAAATCAAGGTGACTGTCCTATCTGCCACCTTGGACTTTTGTCACTTCTTTGTGTTGGGAAAATCCCAAATCCAAACAACATATCCCTGCTGGGCCACAGGATGTACCCAAAAGCAGTGGTCCCTGGACCCCTGAGTCTCCTTCCTCCACCCTCCCGCCCTATTACCCTGCTCCTCCCACCGCAGCCACGAGGTGTCTTAGCTCCCGGAGAAACGTAACAGCAAGTAACACTTGTTCTCTGACTGCCGCATTTCACTGACTGTAACATATGCTAGGGGGAATCCTACTTTTTTTTTTTCCCCGAGGAACCAAGAGTGAACTCAGACCCTATTGAGCCATCTCCCTGGCCCCGGATCCTACTTTTGAAATTTCCATTCTTCTTGGTGAATCAGAAGGTATTTGGGGATCTTAACGCACATCAAAATCATCATCCTAATGTCAATATGGATGACATCAGTTCTCATCCCTGACCCAGAGGTTTGTAAGAGACCGAGCTTGATATGCAGCCTCTACTTTAAGGACTGAGCTTTGGACAAATTCCTGGTCTGAGGAGAGGGTATATGTCTTTCATAAAATATGAGCTAAAATAAAGATGGCTACATTGACTGACTTTCCAATATTTTGCAGTACAGATGACTCAAAGCTCACCATCAAAAATTTTAAATGTTCAGACTAAATATATTTTACAAAGTAAATACAGAAGCTGAAAACCTAGGTGGTTATTTACACGGCAGCTTTTCTAAGCATTGGACAGCAGTAAAGACAAAAGAGAAAGAGCTCTTTTTTCACCAAGATGGAGCGAGGCACGCAACATGCGGGGCAAAGGCCACCATGCAACAGGCCAAGGCCGGCAGTTTGGGTTCAGGGACAGCAGGCAAACAGCACAGAAGCAGCTTTAGACCACGCAACCAGAGGGGTACCAAATGTAGGGTGTTCACGAGCCTCTAACACTACAAAGAAGAACTGGAATTATAAATTTCATAAAAAGTCAAGGAACAGTTTTCACCATCCACTATGGGAGCAGTAAGTTTTTCTTGTTCTTGTCTCCAGTGGATTTTTAGGAGAAAAAAAAAGAAGACACACCAAATGAACACTACCAACAACAACAACAAAGACCCTTTACAATAGGAACTGCGAAAGTGGTCCCACACGTGTGCACGCAAGAGAGACTGACGCTGTATCTGTGTACGCACGCAGCAGATCCTTTAAGGAAGAGATGCGAAAACCAGCACCATTAGAGATCACTGAAACTGGGGTAAGTTTTTAGGGTTCGAAATACATAAAATGTAAAACAATGGCAGCTTTGGAAGAAACAAGTAATTTGCTCTCTAAAACAAAGAAGATTTTTCTAAAGATTAGAATGTGATATGCATTTTAAGAGAGCTACATGGGAGAACTTCCAGGAATCAATGAAGTTGGAAAGATTAAGTACGGGCTGGGGAGATAGCTCAGCGGTCTAAGTGCCTGCCTGGCAAGCACAAGGACCCAAGTTCAATCCCTGGTACCAAATGCTGTGGTGGTCCCGTACCATGCTGGTGGTACACACCTGTAATCTCAGTGCTGGGGAGGCTGAGATAGGAGGATCACTACCAGTCGGAGCTGCATAGTGAGACTGTGTACCAAATAAATAAATAAATTTTAAAAAAGAAAGATTATCTATGAACCATAAGCCAGAGCATGTTATATGAATGTAAGCCAGGTTCTAATCTGAATACTCCTAAGAAGTAACAAAAATAATTTCTACATGTGTCATCTTTATCTGATGATTGTAGCTGATCAATAATTATATCATCTTGGTTCATGAAGATACGGAATGGTAGTACTGAGATGGCTCAGGGACTCCGATGTCCTGCCAGAGCTACAAGTACCCAGAGCCTTGGCCTGCTCTTCTCTCCACCTCTGCTCATCCTGTTCTCTGGAGCTGGTGGCTTTCTCGGAGAGCCCAGGGCTGGGCCCTCGAAGCTATGCCCAAGCCCTGCAATCAAAGCAGCGAGTCTGTCGAGAGCACCCCGACAGCTCATGATTTACCTAAGCTGCCTATGAAATAAACCAGACCTCTAATGAATCATTATCCTTAATTTTACAAAGGAGAGTGCGCACTGAGTTCCCGAGGCCTTGCAGGAGCACAGCCAGGGCTCGGCCAGGGCGCTGAGGTCTGCTCGCACTTGGCCTGGCGCGAGTGGCCGCTGACACCACCACGAGCTGCCGCTCCGCACAGCCGCCAGGAGGCTGGGGAACTCCTGGCAGGGCTCGTCGCTGCTGTGATCTTTTGGGAGAGGAACCTGACGGTAATCTATGTGGGTTCTTAAAAGCATTACACCATTTTATCCTTAGAGAAGCTGCGGGTGCGTCACGCACATCACTGCTCACAGCCTCACAGGACTTCTTACTGTGTGAGGAAGAGAGTTCATCTTTCTCACTTTAAATTACAAATCTGTGCCACAAACAGCTAGAACGCGGGTCCATCCTGAGCACAGACGCCATCCTTTGATAGCTACTGAATGAATAACACTCAAGGCTGCATTTCTCAAGAAAAGTAGTTCTCCACTGACATGCATTCCCAGAGTGAGTGCTGTTGCTGCCTCCAAACAAATCACGACCTACACACTGCGTGTGAACAGGGAACCACACAGGCCCAGGAAGCGGCCCAAAGAGCCGCGAGCTGCGCCAGCCCACCTCGCTACAGCAATGAAAGGAAGGGCGCAGGGAGGGAGGGGCGGCCAGAAGGGCGCCCAGCAGCCTGGCCGGGACACACGCTCCGCAGTGCGCCGTGGAAGGGCGAGCCCCAGCGACGCGGATGGAGCAGCAGGCCTCGGCTGTTCAAGCTGGAAGACCAGGGAGGAATGTGTGCCAGACGAGCCTGTTCTACTTCAATGAAAAAGAAAAATGTGCACCTGAGGATGTGCGCATCAAAGAAACCCAACCAAATTCACAACTACTTACAACCAGATTTTAGAAAAAGGTAATGGGAGAATGGGACACTTTCTCTATTTTGTTTTTGAGACAGGGTCTCGCTATGCAGCTCAGGCTGGCCTTGAGCTCACTTTGTAGCCCAGGCTGGTCTCGAACTCACAACGATCCTCCTGCCTCAGCCTCCTGAGTGCTGGGACTACAACCTCCAGTCACCACCCCTGGCTGAGACTTCCGTATTCAAATTATATTCATCTTTGCATTTTTTTTTAACCTATATGCATTAATGATCACTGTGCTGAGGAATGGCAAGAAATTACTCCTTCCCATCAGCGGTCATCTTGGAAGCACTTCTTGTGCTGCTTATAAGCAAGCGTGCTCTGTGGCCTGAGTGCTGTGCGCTCGGGCCTGCTGGGTGTTCGCGTGGGGCTTATGTCCACACTTTCCGTCCCTGGCTTCACTTTCCCATCTCATATGTCCCTGGTCCCAGTGTGCACTTCGCGAGCTCTCAGGCTTGCTCCTGCTGAAAACCCACTTCTGGGCCTTCCTTTATTTGGTTGGCTAAAGGGTGCATTTGCTTGTCCCTTCCCTGTAAGCTTCATGGCCCTCCCCCCTCCAAATTCCACTCTTCCAGGGCCTTGTTGCTGAGTATGCCTCTCCAGTGGATTCTCCAGTGTTTTTTATAAAAACTCAGAATCAAACAACT